ATTTTGAGCCCATTTAATTTGTTTGCTCAAATTGCTTTGAATAGTGTTCAAAAGATCTTAGCTAAAACCGAAGGAGGTCTCCTTATACAGTATGACAAAAAATATACATAATAACACAAGTAGTGTCATGGCTCGAAGGAAATTAGGAGGAATTGAATTTCCCCACGAAATACGGAAAGATCCGAGTCAACTTTGTAATATCATTATTCGCGATTTTTTTTTCTAAAAATAGATGTCAAGGCTCAGAGTTGATTTATGTGGTCATGTGGAGCCTAAAATTGATTCCTTATTGCAGAAAGAATGAACGCTTTACTAAATGAGCTATAAAACAATTTTGAGGAAAGATAGCTGCAAGGATATCAAGTTGTTATGCAACTAAATAGGTGTATAAATAGGTGAATATGATTGATATGGAAACTGAACGTATCTGAAATAGGTAATATATGATTGAGAAGCTCATAGGCAAAATGATTAGTGAAACATGACGATATTATGTTATAGCCCTCCACTGTACGGAGAATAATTGCATAGTTATTAATATCTGCTAAATCATCCATCATCATATTTTTATAATTAATGTAAGAACAAATGATTAAAAATATAAATGAGTGAAATAGAATAAATTCTTTATTGCCATAACCTTCCCTACTATTCTTTTATTCTTTCCAATTTTTAATCATCGAAAATGAAATATTGGCTGAACTTACAAGACCACTTTAACTTTGAAAGACTAATTTTCCAGATACAGTAAAAACCCGCATATAAGAACCTAGGTTTCGGTAAGCAAAATACTACACTACAAAACAAATCAAAACCTATTCTGTATAGCCTTCACTATAATTCCTACTAAATATTGTATGGAAAACAACATGACATGATAAAGTTCCTCTTTAAAAATGTTCACTGACGAGTTTTATGTAACTATGCTGTAACTACTATAATCAATGTGTACAGACTGTGTTATAAACATATTTTTGAGAATATTTTTTCTATATTTTGAAAGGATTATTTTTAATTTCCTTTTTTTCAAAATAAGAACCTGTCTTAGAATTTTAGCCTAAAATGGTTCTTATGTGAAGGGTGCTTAAAAATGAAATTTTAGTCTAACAGGTTCTTACATGTTAAGTTCTCAGTTATACGCGGGTTTTTGCTGTATTCCAGAACGACCACGCCACCTAAAGATGGGATCGAATTACCTGACTGCACGGAACATGTGCACGAACCTCATCGGTATTCGGAACAACCTACTTCGCGATCGGAAACGATGCTTTTCCGAATATTCTGCAGTTAAAATTAGTGGTCATTAGTGCTTTTTAGATACTTCTTTTACAGAATAAGTAAAAATGATTTTAACTCAAATTTAAATGCATCATATTATAGTATCCCGATTTTTTTCTCTTGAGCCGTGAGCCTAACACTTTGAGCCCAGAGCCCAACCAAGATTTCGGAATTGAGCCCGGCCATTTGAGCAATGAGCCCTGAGCCCATATACCATGTTACGAGTCTGAAATAAAGGTCAAACGCCTATCGTGCCCTCATGTCAGTGCACAGTACTCTGAGAATGTCTTTTTGCATGATGCAATGCTCGTGTTAAGTAAATCTAACTTCCAAGTCAAGGTATATTTCTTTATGTAAAGTGGATCTAAACCTTTATATTTAAGAAGTTATACTGTAAAATGGRAAAATACATTCAGGTCGTCATTGCCTTATAGTCGGTATTTAAAAGTCTAAATACTACAAACCAAATATTGTGTTATAACTGTTATAATCCAATCTAATTTTCAAATCCAATSTGAATATTCGGTGCACAATCTATTTTCTTACCTTGCTAGCTACGTACTAAAAGAGCGAAACCTATAGAGACTTTTTCAGTAAACAGCGTCCCAGACCGCCCGTTTTGAATGTGATGACATGTGATTCAGGCAGACGTATGTACTTATGATACAGGTCGTTGACCTTTTAAATCACAGGTAGCCCAAGCTATTCATTTTTACCGTTTTTAGTAATTTTGTGAAATATGTTAATTTTAAAAATAAACATCTCTATCTATGTATTGTAGTTTTCTTTGCATTCCTGTGGAGTTTCAGGCCATTTGCTTGAGTTTTGAGTWAMGAATCTCGTATCCCGAGCCTTCGTTTTTGACGGCGCTGGCMAAGAAAAACGAAGGCTCGGGGTACGAGATTGGGATGATAGGAACTCATGCAAATGGCCTGAAACTCCACAATACATACGTAGAGATGTTTATTTTTATTAAACTTAAATTTCATAAAATTACTAAAAAAGAGTAAAAATGCATAGCTTGGGCTGCCTGTGCTTAAATTACTGTACGTCTTCAGGGCAAGGGCGCTAGAACTAAAATTACTGAGCAGCTATATTGGTTCTTCAAGGTCGAGAAGTGCCTTAATGGATAAAGTTCCTGGTGAGACAACATTGGCTGGTACAACAAAGACAGTAGTACCAATTTTTTTAAAAGACGACATCAGGATAAATTTCGGATAAGTAAAACTTTATTTATTATCGACTAACCTAATAGTTGGATAAATTAAGTAACTTCTCGACCATGAAGAAAAAATAGAGGTCATAATTTCAGTTCTAGCGCCCTTGATTGAAGACTATCATATGCAAAATAAACGGAACAGCCTACCCGGGCTACCCCCTCTCCCCATTGCAAGGTTGCACAAACGTTCCTTTCCTCATCCTTGTAGATTTTGTAGCAATTCATTGACAAACAACATTGTAAAAGTGAAAAGAAGTTGTATTAACACAATCATAGACGGTGTTTAACATAATTTTGCAAGAGATTGTAGGCTTAGGGGGAAAACTAAAGTTGTGATTCTTCACGAGTCGAAAATTATTACTGGCCTGGTTCCGAATGCTGATAGCTGTAAAGGCGGGAAACAATTTCATTGGTCAGTTCCTTAAGGAAGTATGTAAACAGAGCTAAAGGTCAAGKAATACGAAATTTGAGCATTGGTTGCACGTGATTTGGTGCAAAGGACAATCCATGTTCGTATGTACCAGCAAATGTGTCCTATAAAGTCATGGAACAGTTCAAAGGAATAAGGAGAAAGATGTCAKTTGAGAAGGAACCAAGCAGTTACGAACTTAATCCATCAGAACCKGTTTTCACCGTACGATATCTTGGAAAYGTYGASGTYGTCGAGGTGTTTAATCCCACAAACGGTTACAGTCTGTCATGTAAATACGCAGATCAACTTCTTAAAGAAACAAAACGTGGCCAAAAAGCAAGCAAAGTAGAACTTGTCATATCAACTAACATTCGTCGTGGGGTTTCTTTGAATGATCCAACTGGTAAACTTCCAGAACTGCAAACCTTCCAGCTACAAAATATCGCATTCTGTACAACARTCAAGCATCAGCCGAAAATCTTTGTGTTTATTGCTGAAAAGGCTGGAAAACTCGAGTGCCATGCATTTCTATGCAGCAAAAACGAAAAGGCACGGGCAATRTGTCTTGCTGTGACCAAGGCWTTTACTACAGCTCATTCAGAATGGAGCAGAAAGCGCGCGCGCGTCATCTCGAAGAAAGAAAGGAACGCAGTTATTGCAGACATCGTGGCCAGTCAAACAAAACAAGGTATATCTATATTTAAAGTTCATTTTAAATATAAAATCATTCATTTTTATTGAAGCAACTTTTTAAAACGTTTGAGTTTAAGATTTAGAAGTTTTTTTGATGTTCATTGGACAATGTATTCATGACAAGAAGCCTCTATTGTAACCGAATCATAACTGATACTTTGTGTTGGACAAGCAAAAATAGCTGATAATTCATCTCTGAAAGATACTTAGTAGTTATCCTATGTTTAATACGCGTAGACTTAACAAATATTTCCTTATTTTCCGAGAAGAAGAATCATTTCCTGCACCAGTTTCGTATCAGACAATCAGAGTCAAGAGTATTGTCATGGGCATCTGTCATGTGCATCTCAAATTTCTTTCCCTATGGCCCTGTATATTTGCAGTAAACAAGGAACCTCAGTCCTCTCAAGAATGTTCTCCACTCTGCGACAAAATGTCTAAATGCATGCATGGGACATTTTACTATAAATGGAGGTCTACGAGATCTATAAACATGACATAACTTTTTGATACGAGCGATCTGGTCTCCTTTGCAGAGTCACCTTTTGTCGGTCTTCCTGTCTCTCCCAAAACAGGATRACAGGAAGCCCGTCAAAGGGGATCGGCTGCGAAAGAGAATAAACTGAAATTCTGAATGAAAAAATATGCAGAAGGGAAAGATTGAAGAGAGTGCGGAAWGAATGTCGAATGGATGAGAATTGAACAAATAATGAGGTCAAGTGTTCGAATCTTGTTATGTGACTTAACATGTTTTTTTCAAACTCATTATATACCATCTATTCTGCATGTCGTTCAGGTCAATTAATGTTTGCTTCAATCTCCTCCAGATGTCGTAAATCAAGACAGAGAGATTGATGGTCATGACGTTCAGTTATCAGATGACGATGATTTTGACGTCTATGAGAACAGTTCCGATTTGATGATGTTGATTCGAGAGGAAATGACAGTCAATAACAATTAATTCATCAAACGATCTTTTCAWGTATTTATGAAGATTGTCCGCATTAGATCCTCGTCAAGATAATGAAACAGTGCATACTTGATTAATGAGAAATCTCTCGTGCTTGGAGCGCGGGCTTCCTGTGTGAAAGATATTAGCGACATTGATTTTAGGCAAGCATTGGCGGACAAGATTTAACCGTAAATGCATATGGACTATCCCATGAAGCATTGTGAGAGTGCACGAGGAAGATTTTAGGAAGTAGTATAAAATATCAGTGTTTTTCGTTTCTAGTYTAAAAGGATATAGTGTTATACAAACATTTTGATGTTAAAACATTTTGATCAGCTGATCAATACAATATGCAAAATATAATTTCATATTGGTGATTTCAGCGTGCGTATCAACTTCTTGTAGTTGGTTCTTACAGCACAGCTGATTTACTAAGTATAACTACCATCAGTGGAGGTTGAACGAGTTAAAATTTCATAGTACATTTGATGATGCGGCTTGCTTTGCAGCAGTATGCTTTTCAGYGCATATGTTCAACCAGGTTCACCGTAAACCGCGAGCGAATACTAGAGACATCGCATCGACTTACGTATCGCAGCATTAGCTTTATGTAAAACACTTCGGTCAAACGTATGCGCATGCGCGGAACAACTATGGGAAGGTTTATAATTTTCCTTTGTAGCTAAGTACTTTGAACCTCAATTTTATGAGAAATTGACTTAAAGGTTTTTTGCAAGTGGCCAAGTCTTTTTTACAACATGGCTAAAATTGTCGTAGAAATTCAAATTAATCGTTTCAGGAGCCCATTAATGGGCTCCTGTCGTTTGTATTAATAGCGCTACGATAGTTGTGGCTTGTAGCGACATCTTCACGACCGTAAACCGCTACAAATATGAATTACCGAAACAGAACCCACCTCCAGTAAAATCAGCAAATTCACCGTCAAACCGCCAACCTATAATAGCCCCCCCTTTAAGATAACCTCAACCTTTYCTGTGTACAATCTTTCCTAATTTTCCAACTATTAGTGTACTAAGTTTATACCTTTGTTATTTTTATTCTCAAGGGCGTGAGCAGGGTTTCTGTGGGTTCTGACTATCAAGAAGGCGATTGACTACAAAATTGCACGAGTATTGTTTCCGGAACCCCTRAAACCACCCCCTGCACACTCTCCTGTCTATACTTTGAGTTTTACAGTAAGCTTCAATTTTAGTCGTCAATACTGCTGGAGGTACTCGATACTATTATTTTTTTACCATTATACGACAGCTCCAATTTGCAACAATGTTTGTTTGTTATTTCTATGTTATATGTAAGTATAAAGTTGTGACAGCATTTTTTTTTTTGTACAGTTTCAAATCCTAAAAATTCCTTGCATGATTCGAAAGTCAAGCGCATTGGCTGATGTTTGACCCGGAGGTGTATCTATATAATCAAAAGCAGGGAGTAACCAGAGGTGTACAGTGACTTATATATAGTTGGAATTCACTCTTTGTCAGGGTCACACCCTTATATCTCTAAGACTGTTCCAAAAGGTAAGGTCAGTTGAATTGGGTGAATTGAACTTCTAAACGAGAAAGATGCATGCCTAAAAGATATATAATATCAAGAATCTCTTGATTCTTCGGTACTTTCAACTTATCATTACATGTTTTGAAACTGATTTCGCGTTTTGAGTCTTAGTCAGTTGATTGAAGACTACCCTGCATTACGGTTATAGGCGTTCCAGACACTCAACACGAATGTACTTATGATATCTTGACCTTTTTAGTACTTCAGAAATAGCTGGATTCTTTTTTTTGGCACACAGAAGCCGTTATCTCTCCAAGTGATTAAATAAGTGATGTAAATCTCTTATGATGATCCAAGTAATATTGTGCAAGCCTCTACATGATCTCATTCTTTCACAACACAATGCACAATAGAAATCTGAATGGAAAATATAATCAGGGTATCGATTCAGAGGAAAGCCGTGTTTGTTTTTGCAGCCGTTTTTGAGTAGTTTCTCTGATGACGTCACGCGGAAATGAAAAGCCAAACCCACGGAAGTATGGGCTGGATATTTCTAAATTACAGTATTGATGGTTTTTCAGATGATCTTTGATAAATGACATTCATTTTAATAAGTGCCTGTGATATTCTGATCAATTTAGTGTGTTCTTGTGAATTGTGATATGGAATATGATATGCTCTGGGCTTCCTGTGGTGATATGGACCGGATGGCTTTGTCACAAGACAACATACTGTACTGTGAGCTGAACACCTTTCACTTCATATTGATGAGAGACAATGATTTTTGTTTGTTTGACCTAAAATAGAATGTTATAACGACGCCCTCGACAAACAGAGACACAAGCCTTTCCCTATAAATGACTWCGAAGAGCTGAGTTCAAGATCTGCTAAGCTTACTTAGGACGGTTTTGGTTTCTCAAAATGGACGATATCCATTTCAACAAATTATCTTCTTTCCTGATTTCAACGATTTTATCGACTCTATTATGGACGGCAGAAGGGACCTTATACAAATCGATACACTGGGATCCTTTAAATCCAATGTAAGTGGAATAGAGCTTTTTTTCCCTTGTATTGTGGAGTGGAGTGTGTCAAAGGTCCAATGTGTGACCGATGTGTAAATTTGTAAAACGCTCCCAAGCATGGCGAGATCCGTCTGTGTTTACATTTAGTTCTTTATAGCATTTACAATATCATTGAATACTCTGTACTTCAAAATTAGGATGAAGACTTTCAAAATAGACTTGGAATGCTGACAATCGAAAGTTTTCAACTTCACTTTTAAAACTGAAATTTTCACTTCCGCTGGATAGTGAGATGGGATTATGCACGTTTTGTGGGCTGTTTTTCTCAATTCTTCCTACTTTTGACAAAGAAACTGAGGCGTCTTGACTTTTCTTATCGATATTATCTTTTATATTATATTTTTTGTCAATCTTAATAACTTTTTTAACCAAAAAAGGTTTTGGTAATTCTCTGGTTCAGCGATATTACATTAGACCGCAATGACGACAGCAGGTTTCAGGCTTATTGTGGTAAATTCTAAGCAGTTTTCATTAATTTTGTACATCTTGAGTTATACTTTAGGCTATGACGAAAAACATCACAGGGGCTAAAATGTGCTTTTTCAATTAGAACAAAACAAGGGAATCGAAAATGAATAAAAGAAAGAAAAAGAAAGGGAAATGAAAATTAATATAGGTATTATTCTAATGAATGAAAAGTGCAGCTGAAAAGTGTGCTTAAAATAAATTATGGATATGCCTGATGTTGTATAGTCTACAAAACAAAAACGCCTCCTGCTTGGTGAATATTTCTCAGCACAGGAAGCCCAAAACTGGCATAATTTCTAAGTGAAATGTCTTTTTTATATTTTCAGATTTAAGACGACAAATAAAAGCGCTCTTCAGTTTAATGTGACAATGAAATCTCAGATGAACATCATATGCCCTAATGTCCCTACAAACTTGATTGATCGMGACGATGCGATACAAAAAGATAATTTATATGAAAATCTCTGGTTTGTTGACAAACATAGCTTTGAGTCATGTCATGTCAATACAACAAACAAACACAATCTTCTTCTTTATAAATGTGATGATCCAATAAAGTTGAAATACAGAACATTGACTTTTAAAGCAATATCACCCATCAAAGGTGAACCAGAATAYGAGAAAGGAAAGGAATATTACTTCCTAGGTAAGTAATTGCAAGATTACCTGGTCAACTATCAGTATATTTGCTATACGGGGACGTGCCACTGGCCAGGGTATGGTTTTTGGCCTTGCTGTCTTAAACAGGGTATATATTTCACCCGAAATTGTCTTAAACAGGCTCTACTATTTAGATAAAAGACCGATATAATTTTTTGTGTCTTGGACAGGGTAATATTTTCATAAAAAACAGCGTAGAAATTGTAGAAATACCGTTTCACTGTCCCAGGATTAACGTGTTATCAAAAACTTCTTATTGTCTTTGATGGATGTCAGTATAATTGTAGTTTTGATGGTTGCGGCGTAGATAGCTATTCCTTATTTTTCCAATTTGTCTTGAACAGGGTATGGATTTTTACTTTTTAGTGTCTTAAACAGGGTCAGGGATTTAGACCGCTGGCGGCACGTACCTATCCAAAACGGGATTGAGAACCCCCCAGCAGAAGGCCAAATATGGTGTTGTCCGTACTGAAGCTAAACCACAATGCAACATGATTTTGTATTTCAGAAAAATGATTAAGAATGAAAAGTCTATGATTGAAAATCGAAAGTCTATGATATAGTTATATTTATGTTATTTTTTTTGGAATTTGATTTACAGCAACTTCAAATGGGTCAAAGGTATCAMTAGATAACCAGAGGTCAGGTCACTGCAAAACACATAACATGAGATTCAAGATTTATGTGTGTTCAGGCAAAAATGGTATTAAACTTATTTCACTATACTTCTTTATTGGGGTTGTATTTGTGACATTTTGCTATAATTTATATAATTGCATTATTATTGTTATTGGTGATGTCAATYCCATCTCACAAGTTTRTTTTACAAATGTGWTTAAATTTTYTCAGATCAAAGRTGTAAAACACATGAATCAGATGAGRCAAAAACAACCTTGTCCACACCAACCCAAGTCATTAATGACAAGGAAAATTTCGAAGGAGAAAAAAGTGGGAAAAGAGCAGCATGCTTTCTAAAATCTGGAGGTATAGAATAATAAAAAAAACACAATACAAACAAGAAAAAACACAAAAATATAATGATAAGATGTATTGAAGATTGCCATTTAGAGCAAATGCAGGAAAACCATGAAATAAAACGAAACTAAATACTAACAAATAGTGACAATTTGCCGGTATCAATAAACCAGAATGCAATTTCACAGATGAATCCACATGATACCATTGTTGATTTGTATTGATTCATAGTTTGTTGTATGTTCTTTGTCGCACAATAGGTTAAAATCACAAATTGTCTCTAAATAGCCACTATTTTGTAAGTGTTTAGTTTAGTTTTATTTTATGGTTTTCCTGCGTTTGCTCTATAGCCTCTGAAATGTTATCTGTTGTCTATGATCAATTTAATGTTCAATGAAAATATTTTTTGAGTGACATTGAATCATTTTCATTAGCATATTGTAAGAGTGAACCTTCATAACTCAAAGATGCAACCTCTAAGTGAAAAAACATTTCACCGTCCAATTATTTATTTATATATAAAGAACTCATATAGAGTCGACGATTATTTTCTCTATTATCATATAATTATCTATATTTCTCCATTTCGTAAAATTGATTTTTTCACTAGTGAAAATACATGTTATTTTCACTAGTGAAAATAACACATTCGAGGTTTCTCTATATAATGCAAGTAAGAAAAAAGGTATTTTGCGACATAATTTGCTTTCATATTAAACTATATGATAAATAGAATATTACATGTTCGCTTGGGGATACGAATTTTATCTTCTCGTGTTGAAAATCTTTTCAACACTCGAAGATAAAATCTGTATCTCCGCGCGCCCATGTAATATCCTCTATTTATGTGTGATTATGCTCATTTATATGGCCAATTTGATTTTATTAGATAAAATATGGTTTATAACCATTGGTGTTATTATYGGCATACTGCTGATGCTGCTTGTTGGGTGTCTTGCTTTTACATGGTATGTAGTTAGTGATATCGTTATCATTACCTATCAGTATCATCATCATCATTAGCAAAATTGTCATCTTCATCATCATAACCGTCATTCATTACCATCATATTCAGGGTAGTGATCWAATGAGGTGATCTGAAATGAAATTCATCCCTTGATACCCAAATGATCCCCAAGTGTTTTGGATCCCCGATCTTGAGTGATCCCTGAAAAATGATTGAAGATTTACATGAGGGATGATCGAATTTTACACCACCCYCTCCCTCTTATGAGAATGACAAATTTGAAAATATCTTCTCCTATTATCTCTATTAACACTCATTTGTGACAAGATTCTTTAATAATTTTCAGGATCAAAAGACGAAGATCATCTTATGGTGACCAAATTGATGGYGGAAAAATGCCGCTGAATGGAAAAGTTGGAAGCAACAGAGTGTAAATTATTTAAATAATCTTTATTGGTGTGAAAACACAAAAGCCATGATTCAAATAGTAGAATGATGACAGTAAATATTTGCTTTCTGRTATTTGTGTTTTTAAACTACATTTGGAGTTTCAAGTGTTTTGARTGAGCCATTCGCATTTAGTGGGCAGTTTTCATTTGTTTTGTGGCTCTCAGAGCTGATTGGCACACTTTATACAAACAGTAAGCCTCCTTTGCAGACGTCATGCATCAGGCAATATTGGAACTATGGATTAACCGTTACTACGATATAATCTAGTGAGAACATATGATATAAAAATGAAAAAATATATAAAATGAAAAATGAAAAATCACAGAATATACTCTCTACTTGAACTTTTATTGGCAAAACTTAGCAATGAAGTCTCGGAAAAAAAACTACGAAAATTTCRCGGTCTTTCCAGACTCATTTTATAAAATAGTTTCAAGAATATATCCAATAACAACATTCCCAGCTCAGCTCGCTACAAATCGTTAAGTTCATGGCTATTTTCATTTCATTGAAACCTTCAACTATTGATGGCTTTCAACCATTCCCAGGAGAGAAAGTTAAACAAAAGATGTCCGCCATTGCTGGTGGACCTGACAAAAGAAAACCACCACCGGTGACTGGTGGACCTTTTTGTTTTGCTCACTCTCATGGGAATGGTTGAAAACCATCAATTGCATTTTTTCTAATATAATACCAAATTGAGGGTTTTTTTATGAATATGTAATGAGTTATAATTTACTTCGGCTATTTTCTTTAGCTTCTTTCGAGATAAACTTCATTTCAGTAGCGAATCTCGCATAAATCTGCAAATAGAGTTTTTTTCGTACACTGATCGTAGCCTGACGAAAACAAGCACAATTACGCTTCGTTGGAGTCGAATATTTTTAAATTCGGCAGATAAAGTGTGAAAGGAGGCTAAAGTCAATAGATGAGGTTATAACAAGGAGAAACTTAACGTGATAACAAAATATTATAAATAATTTAAAGTGAATGGAAGTTTAGCGTGACATATGAACCAGGCCTGAGCCATATTTCAGAAATTTTAGATTTTTATATAAAGCTTTTCTTTTATGATTTTCTAGATTTATACTAGAGGAACAAGATTGTTATTTTATTTTTTTACTTGTAATATTACTCGACTAGCAAGATTTCTGCACCTATCAATGGTTTACTCAAGGATAATGGCCTGCCAATCCCAGGAGAATTTAACATTTTTAGTTTTACAAAAGTCAATTTTCACACCCTTGGGTCAGTTTTGAGTGAAATCTCTTCATTGGAGATTAAAAACCTTGCAAATAGATGGTACCTGAGCTAAAATTCCCGTCTAGAGGTGATCTTTGTCGGTAAAAAAATAGATCATTTTATTTGTTTGATCTTCTTAAAAGGCAAAACCGTGGGTTGCCGCCCCCTACCTCCTCTGAGGTAATCTATTGATAGGTGCCGTTGAAAACATTAAAAACCTTTCAATAAGGGTTCTTAGTTATAAGGACAGTAGCCCATAGCACCAGATAGGGATTATGGTCCGCCAGGGGAAAAAAAGGGGAACATACATTCGTTATCGATGAGGAATTTATAGAATATGTCACTATAATTTATTTATTTAAATTGTATAATTTGATACCTTATGCTTGAAAACCACTTCTAAAATCGAAAGAGGAATAAATGACTATTTCCTGTTTTGATAATCGAGGAGCGAAAGAGATTCTGTTCACATTATAATATATCARTCAAATTATAAATATAGAATAGCTTTGTTATTTATGGCCTACTGTGTACAGAATAAAAAATGTATAAAAATTTCATTCAATCAATGAATATTTGCTGCAAACTCCCTTTTCTAGCGACAAAATTCCTAATATTATGTCTATCAAAATCCCACACAAATTTACAAACGAATTCACACGAAAAGTAGGAACGAGAAATTCTTGTAGGAAGGAATAAATATCCAAATTTAAACTATAATATGTGACGTATAATTTTGTTGCTGAATTTTAAAAAATGCTTCTAGTGACTTTAATTTTATTAAATTATTTTTTTTCTTTTGGGTGACTTCAGCCTTTTGTTGACTTCTGGCTCTTGTACTTCCTTTACTACCTGTTGATTTTCTATTGGTCGCTGATCAAGCGACACAGGAATCCTGAACACAGCAAGCCCAAAACTTTAATATTCCTTTAATATTAATTTGATGTGCAAATATTCGGTAGTGTCGGTATTTTCTTTGAAAATGCTTAATGTTTTAATATCTATTCCGCGAAAAGCATTCCGAAAGATCCAATCTATTCAGTTTCAAAAATACCATCTAGTTACCAGGTCAATAACATTGTATTCGCTCACAGTGCGGAACGCCTATTCAAACATTGTAATCGAACGTGTTTATTCTTCTGCTGACTTCAAAAGCTTGAATTGCACATCAATTGATGTCTTCACAGCTGCTATTTTTCCACTGGCTATTAAACTTTAATAGTTTTTTCCAACTGCTTCCAAGATTAGTGTGGAAAACTCGGTATTTCTTTAATGTCCGGTTACGATCTGACAGTTCAGATTTGAATACATTTGACGGGTCTTGCTTCTATTGGACGTTTGAAGTCTTTATTTAGTCTAATAATTTATACATACTAATTACTCTTCGAATTCTCCAAGGAACGATAGCTAACTCCGTTAAGTGCATGTACAGCAAGAAGCTATTTTGAAGATGGCACCGAAGATACATTATACTGTTGTACTTTTTCTTCAAATCTTAATGGCTGGGTTAATTCACAACTCTCAGGGAAAATCTCTACGAACAATAAGCGTCGAAGAGTACCACAATTTAAAGAATTCAACGACATCACACTTTGTAGCTGTACACTTCGATAGCTCAGGTATATTTATTGTAAACAACTAGATTTGTTTTGTTAAAATTTAAACAGCAACCATTTTTCATTGTTCATGCAGGTGACTTTTATCAATAGTACCGATCGATTCATGATGTCTTTGATGTTTTGCCACGACATGTCACGTTTTTCTTGTTTTCGCCACACAACTCAAAACCTTTATTCTTTCAATCAAATTAGTTATTTATTTTTRTAGAATCCAGAAGGGAATACCCTCACTTTTTAAGAGAGTTTCGCAAAGCGGTGGACGTCCTAGACCCATATGGAATCGAGCTATTAAAGGTKGGTAAAGTTCACAAAATATTCCTTTTTCAATAAAAATTTCAAGTAACATATTTAGTTAATAACTATGGTATTTCATCAGTTTTTGGTCTATTATATTAAAGCAAAACAATATCTTGTGTTTAATTAGGCTTGTTTTCATATGCAAATATTGTTTCCATATGCTGCTGACATGATTGTACTAGTTTTTTTGAATGACATTAAATGACAAGTAATAAATTTGCATTTGAATCGATATATCCCACTCATTCAATAGGAAGTTTACATGGCATCTTTGTAACTATAACTAACTACATAAATGTTTTTTCCTTTTTTCTTTTTGTTTCACTACTCTCCAAAGGTATTGATGCAGAAACCTACTGTACACTTTAATGATATTATAAATATTCAATCCTGATGATCATTTAATGCCATATAGGTTGATTGCAAAGGTACAAACTTGAATGAATGCAGTGAGACCAATATATATATATACAAGTAAGAAATCCAAGTCAGTATTATACTTGTATGAAGAGGGAAATACTATAAGACAAAATATTACATGTAATAAAAGCGATGATAAAATTATCTTAGTGAGGCCATTTAAAATTGTATATAATTATTAAAAATAACTTTGTTATATACAATGAATATTAAAGTGCTAAAGAGCTTTAAGTGCTACCAAGACTGGGTATTTATTATATCCAAGAAATGCTTTTAAAGAAATTGYACAAAACTGCACTAATTAAACAAAAGAAAAAAATTGTTGATAAACCACATTTCACATTTACAGTGAAAAAAYCTTGCAGTATAAAACAACTGCCAATYAATCCAGTATTCTCACTCTCTGATTGGCTAATGTTTTCCAACTGTTTTCCAATGACCACAGTTGGTTAGTGTGTGCAATATTGAATGGCAAATGTATTGAATGGAATCTTTTTTTTCTTTTCAGAGATGGTGACTTTGAGGAGACACTTGGTTTAGATGTAGTTTTTAATCAAGATTCTCTAGCTGCCAATCTTCTGCAGTAAGCTGACAATAATTTATATAATATATGTAGTAACAGTGTGCTAAATCACYATTGGCTTACTCAATGCCTTGCAATTAAAATGGAGAATTTGTMCTTCATCCATTGAAGAACGCTATGAATGCTGTGCAGTCACAAAAATAAGTACCTTATGTTGCTCCAACAGATTATTGCTGAAAAATGAAATTGAGTTTGTATCGGATAAGGAACGTGTACAAGAAATCAGAAATGCTGCCCAACAATTGAAGAAAAGTGTGGTGTTTTCTTATGTAAAGGGTTATGGAAATACAGGTAATCATTAAAAAGCATAGGTTGTATTGCTTATRTAGGGGCAGATCGAAGCTGGGAGCCAGGGGGGGGGATGGGCAATTAAAAAAGTTCTGAGTAATTGACATATTCTTATGTTTTTCGTTAAATATTATATAATGATTTCTTTTCTGTTCAGAGCATGCCATYTTTACCAAGCTAGTCTTTGTATTTGCTGATAGAAAAAAATATGATTTTGTGATTACCACAAATAAAAAARTAGTTGCAGAAATCGAGGGGTAAGATGCTGCCTTGTTGTTCTGTTTCATAACTTTGAGAATATTAATTTTTTTGTTGTAATTACAAACAGGTTATCGAAAAAGGCTGGTGGTTCAATCGCAGTGCATGTCTGCAAGGATGGACCTTGCAAAGTGTATAAACCAGCAAAAATGACAATATTTAATGCTGGACAACTCCTCCAGCTTCTGCAGCTACCTAAATATGTAAGTCTATTGGTATATTCCCTGTTATTATTCTGTTATTAGCAGAATTTAAATTTGTTTTATTGCTATACACTTCAAAAGACTTCAAAACAAATCAAAACAAAAACAGTAAAACGTTGTAAAAATAAAAAARCAATAAAATGTTATCAGGAATTCAAGGTCTGTTCTCACTAGTAGATAGGGATTGATTAAAGTTAGAAATTACAGTTCATGGTGTGATTGTTTTATTGATAATTATTTACTTACATTTGTGGTTATCATTGTGTCTGAAGGAATATCTGAGTGAGAAAGGTACCACTAGCTACGATGGCCAACCTCTGTCATTCAATAAAGCCTACATATTTACTGATGGTAGTGATATTGCTGATGAAAATGGGTTGAAAAGTCTGACTGATCATTATCATGGACATGTTGGTTTTGTTCTAGTAGATGTGTAAGTATAAAATAGTTTAGAGCATTTGACATTCAAACTCTTGGAGAAACATGTTCTTGTTCTTGTCCAAGTACAAGTTCAAGTTGTTTTCCATGCAATTTTTGACTTGACCAATGACAATGTGTATAAATGAGAAGAAGACATCTCCCAATGTCTTTATATAAGAAAATAGAGAAAGGCGTGACCGTTTCATATTTCTTAAATACAGATGTCGTTTATACTGTCTACGCTCGCCCCTACACACGCCTATATGTGTAATTGTATGTGAATCTATGTGTCTGTAATATAGCACTTCGACTTGAGAGTGCGTCGAGCTCCGTCTTTCGCAATTCAGTGCCTGTGCTGCCATGAAGGACTATCTAGCACCTTTTCCTTTTTTTCATAGTGTTTTATTTTTCAACTGATAAGATGTTCCAGCCCCTTCCCCCCCCCAATCGATCAGAACGAAGCTTGTGATTTATCAAGACAACAAAACAAAGAATTGTAGGATTATGTAAGACAATGCCTATTGTTCTAATGGACATCTTGTTTTTGGTATTGCATGTCTTTCGTTATTTCATCAAATCACAAACTTTGTTCTAACAGTAGTGTACAACGATTACATGTTAGTTTACACTTCTTAGTTGTCTTTACTGTTATTTCACAGCAAGAAGCACAAAGACAAACTATCGAAGTTTGGTTTACACGAGAACAGTGCATTTCCAACAGCAGCGTTCATGCCAGCTTCACCAGGGGCACAAGTAAGGCCGCGCCCATACGTACACTCATTTTTTAAATGTTGATAAGGTAATCGATTTCGCGGGATATCTTCAACGCGTCTCTGTGTGTAAATAGAATATCGATCRTGGAAACTAGAGAGATGGACTTTTAGGCAATTTTGCGGTGGCAGATGTTCTGTTCACATGTCCTAAAAGGTTCTCAAGCCTTGAGATTATGTTTGTTTGAGATATAAGTATTTAGGTGTACGCTGGTTAAGTTTTAGCTTGCAATAAACAATCGAGTAATCGGTCTTCGTTTCCTCTCAATAACTGCTAAGAAAATGGTAGGCTTACAAAGCGAAGSRRARARAA